TCTGCCTTTGGACCTTCCTCCTCCGCCTCCTACTTTGCTGGGTCTAAGCGTGGTGGGGGTGGGCTCCTAGCCTCAACCTCCGATGAATGCTCTGTCTCTGGACGTGACCTGTCTTCCAAGCTCCACACGTACTCATCCACCTGCCCACGTGGATGCCCCGAGGACATTTCAGAGCTCAGATGTTCAAACCGGAGGGCTTCGTCCCCTTCACCTCCACTGTCCCCAGGCTTCCCCCTCTGTGCAAAGGGCTCTGCCTTCTACCTGGTGACTCAAACAAAGCAGCCAGGATTCTCTCCCCTCTCCTTTGTTCCTCACTCCCAAATCTAACCCATTATTGGATTTTGTTGACTCTGGTCCAAGACTGCTACCCTTCTCATCTCCGTGGTCCTTGGTCCTCCCTGTCTCCTGTTCTTCCTGCCTCCACTCTGCGTCCTCCCTGCTCCACCAACACCCCCTCAGCAGCCAGGGTGATCTTTTTGCAACACCACCAGACCCTGCTCCTCCCTGTGGCACCCCATCTCCTTAGAGTAATCTCAAAGCCCCCATCCTGGTCAAGAGCACCCCCACGCTGCTCCTGGGGATCTGGCTTCCTCTGATGCTCTCCTTCCCTCCCCAAAATCCACCCCGTGTCGCCATGCCCCCAGCTCCTCTCACCACACTCCTCCCAATCTGGCCTGTTCAGCTGACCCCGCAGCACAGGGCTTGTTCCCACCTTCGGCCTTTGCCATCCCTCCTTCCTCTGTGTGAGCCATCGGCCCCAAGAACCTTCTGTGGCAGCAGCTTCCTCCTGCTCTTCCTCTTCCTCCTCACCCTCCTCCTCCTCTCCCTCCCCCTCCTCCTCCTCCTCCATGTCTCAGCTGAACTGTCCCCTCCTCCCATAGGCCCCCTCTGCTGGGACACACAAATCACATGTCCTCCATTTATATTCTCATATTCTTATTGGCAGCATCAGTATGTGTCGGCACGTGAGAAATGCTGGTCTGAGTCTTTGCTTTTGGGCATCAGGGGCTCCCTCCCCAGATGGCAAGCTAGAGCCCCAGAAGGTGAGGTGGACTTGCCGGTGTGTCTAGCCCATTTGTACTGCTGTAGCAAGATACCTGAGACTGGGTAACTTACAAAGAACAGAAATGTATTGCTCCCAATTCTGGCGGCTGGGAAGCTCAAAGTCAAGGCACTGGAGACTGGGAAACTTACAAAGAATAGAAATTTCTTGTTCCCAATTCCAGAGGCTGGGAAGCCCATGATCAAGGCACCAGTAGGTTCAGCGTCTGGTGGGGGCTCAGGCGGACTCCCTGGTAAAAGTAAAGGAATTGTACAGGTGGCCCCTGCTTGGTTTGGCTCCCAGAGTCTTCCATCTTTTTTGCTTGGTCCCCCTGATTGCCAGCAGCAGGCACTGCACAGAGCCAGCATGCCCAGCAGATGTTGGACACCTGAAGGGATAAACACGCACTGCACTCACAAGCACTGCACTGTGAGGTGGCACTTGATTGGAGATGCTGCAATCAAGATTCATAGAAGGCTCTGGGTTGCTTGGTGGCCAGACGCCTCCATAGAGCACCTGCTGTAGTACTGGCTCTTGAGAACCAAGTCCCAAGGACAGCCAGCCTTGCTGAGTGCCTCCAACACAGACCTGGATGCAGAGGAGGTCTCCTTGTGTGTTTCTCCCCACCTGGCTGCCTCCCAGCTGGCTGACCTCAGACATGTCCCTTAGAACCTCCACAGGTTGAGTGGGAGCATTGTCTGCTCCCGAACCAGAAAGGGCTTCTTTGCTGTGCACCACAATGTCCGAGAGCCCAGACTCTGCACAACCAACGGAAGCCCTCCTGTGTCCTCCAGGGACAGCCTGGGGCTCCTCTCTACTGTCCTATCTCAGGCAGGGCCAAAGCTTCCCAATCTGTGGCTTTGGGCCAGCTCCCCACCGGCCGCGGCGGGCTCTGACTGCTCAGAAGCGTCCTTTCCCCAATGCCCTCTTTGATTCTGCTCCCAACGGCTCTCTGCCCTGCCCAGAGCCCACAACAGGCCCTTGGGCGGCCAGGCTAGCACCTGCCTCCTGCCATATGACCCTGCCGTTCCCTGACTGGCTGCCCCCACCTGGGGCAGGAGGAGCAGTACTTCCTCAGCTTTTGTCTGGCTGTGCCCCACCCCACACACACCGAAGCACATACACACACACACACACACACACACACACACGCATGCACACACACGCACGCACGCGCACGCACACACAACCTGCCCTGCCCCTAGCCTGCCCTCTGCAGCCTCACAGGTGCAGGTGGCTCCTTCCCAGCTAGCAGGGTTTTCTGAGGGACAGCCCGATGTGGCACGCCATGCTTCCCAGACTCAGGGTCCTGCTGGGCTGAATAAGTGTGAGCTTGTTCTCCGTTGGTCCTTGACACAGCTGTCTGCCTGTGGCACAGTCTTCAACTCGTTGAAGTCCCTCTGGAGGAGCGTGGGTTGGGGAGAAGAAGGCGTTGGTTGCTTTGAGGATGTCAGGCTGCCACACTGTGTTGTACTGGGCAGCGTCCCTCTTGGGGGCTGCATTGTCCAATAGAAACATTATGCGAGACGTTTATGTGTTTTCAAAATCTTCTGGTAGCCTTATTTAAAAGAATTTTGCCTTATTTAAAAGAAACTAGTGAAATTAATTTTAACGATGTGTTCTATTTAGCTCAACATATCCAAAAGTGTTATCATTTCAATGACTCACTAGTATAATAAGTTACCGATTCGATAGTTTACCTTCTTTTTTTGCAATAACTCATCGCTCATGGTTTCTTTCTCCTCTCCCAGCACTGCCTTCCCAGTGTTCGCCATTCCATAAAAGGATGATCCAGAAGAAGAG